ATACAGAGCATCGCTTGCCCCAGACCGAGAGATCCTATACTTTGTGGGTAACCACTGACAGACGTCTGCTCCAGAAAACAGAATCCCAGCAGTCTTTCATATCTCCAAAGAAAAATCCAGCCACCATACCCATATTAAAGGTGCCCTTGGACTCTAAATTTGTTCTATTGCTTCTGACCAACACAGCTGATGACTACCTGGATCTATATTCCTCTACATCACTCTTTTCACGCATCCCTGTTTCCAAACCATTTTCTTCACAAGCTACATCACCAGGAAAGAATCCTTAACAGGAAATCAGAATTCCTATATCCGGTCCTATTGCATTACGATCCAAGAAGGGATGATAACCTTAGCCTTCTTATAATGAAGTCTGAAGAAAGCCCACAAATCCCTCATTATGCATCAGATATCCAGAGCAGCCCATTTCCCAGAACTCCAGGACCTGTACTCTTCCTCCCCCAGATCACAAGGAATCCTCACAAACACAAGACTGATCACTCCAGAATAACTAAGAACTGCCTACAATGTTCCCTCTAAGCTGTGGAGTCTTGTAAGCAAAAGTTCTACTTTGTGAGCGACTGGCATTAAAGTTGTGAGCAGGTAATTTGGCTACTGCATGAATGAGTTTGCTCTGGAGCCCCATCCTTCCTGAGCGAAGACAAAAATGTGTGAGCCAGAGGCTAAAAAACTGTGAGCTAACTCACACTAACTCGGCTTAGAGGGAACACTGCCTACAACCCTTTTGCACTCCAAATACAGCCCTCCTCCCAAACACGCTTCAAAGGGAGGCAACACCTTGTTTGCCCCCACTCCTTACACTGTTAACAAAGTGAGCCAGGGCAAGTGTGATCAGAGTACTTAACCAGAAGCTGGGAGGCCTGCATTCAAACCCACACTCGGCTATGAAGCTCACTGGCAATGGAGGGCTACTCACTGTCAGCCTAACCAGTGACTGTTGTTTTAAACAGAAAAGAGGAGAATGATGTCGGCCACCCCAAGCTCCATGGAGATAGACTAGGGTAAAATGAAATAAAGATCAATGGCCTTATTCACTGGAAGGCAGCTTTGTGTATTCATGTAAAAGCCACCATGAATCCTTTCCCTTGGACTTCCCCAACTGATTCCAATGGAGTTTTCTCGCGAGGAAATTGCAGAGGCAAGAAGCAACAAGAAGCCCCTGCTCAACACTGGGAAAGAAGCCCCTCTGAGTTTGAGCTCCAAGAAAAGCTGCGGGCTGGAGTTTGCAAATAGTGGAGGAAGGCAGGCAGGGGAGAGTCGGGCCCGACCCTCCGGGGCTGTCCCTAAGGAAGAAGGGAGGGAGGGTGACCACCACCATGTTAGTAGACCTGCCTGCTCCCTGGGAAAGGAGGCAGGAAGCAAAGCCGCCCTGGCGGCCCGCTCGTCAGTCCCTGGAGGGAGACCAACACGTCTGGCCCAGCGGGGGGAGAGGTGCAGGAGGAGGCCAAGGAGGCACAGGAGGCCGAGGCAGAGCTCCTTGCAGGCTTCATAGGAGGCGCTCGCAGGCTGAGGAGGCACAGGAGGCCGAGGCGGAGCTCACAGCAGTGCTCCAATGGGTCGGCCAGCAGGTGGGAAAGGTGGGGGGGCTGCTGGGAGCAGGGGGTGGGGCTTGCTGCATGTGCCCGCCCCCTGGCCTCCTTACTGCTGGAGAGTTGCTCCTGCAGGAAATGAGGCCTGGGTCTAACTGAATTCAATGGTAACAAAGATGATATAAACATTCAGAACACCATTCACATAATACCTTTATTAGGACCAACCGAATAACTCATGTTGTCAAGCCTGCCCTAGCAACCAGTGGCAGATGTGGAGGGGTGGCTGTCAACAACACATCACTTCTGGGAAAACCAAAGAGACACATCATGCCTCTTGAAGAAACACTATGGTAATTCTATTTTATCACAAAATCTATTTTAAAACTTCATAAGAACATAAGAGACGCAGGGCATGGTGGAGAAACCCTTAGTCTGCTGTTGGAAGAGTCTGAAAATGGAATACAGGTTATGTTGCAGATGTAATTGGATTAGGTGCTGCTGCATGCAGAACAGGCTTCATAATGCACTCTGGACCATTGAATCCTGTTTTGCCCTAACACCATCTAGTCAATTATGCCTGTAACATGCCTCACAGTTCATTTAAAGGTAGCTTCCACACCAAGTGTTTGGTCTGCCTTAGATGGTAATGTGAAGCAGGTTAAAGACTGTTCAAACTGCAGAGTAAAGTCCTCCCCACCATTCCCTGAACCAGGGCTATTTTGGGGCAGGAACGCACAGGAACAGAGTTCCGGCTGGCTTCAGAGTTGGCCACGCCCACTACAGCCAAAACCTATGAGTGCGTGGCTACAGAGGGAAGGCCTGGAGAGTGCCCCCCTGGCGACTCTGAGGTGGGCGGGCCGGGGGGGGGGGCTGGAAGGATTGGGGCTGGGCTGGAAGGTTTTAAATGCCTCCCGTGCCTTCCCCAGCCTGTCCAAGGGCTGGCTTGCCTGGGCTCCCTGAAGCTGCGAGGCGCCCAGGCAAGCTAAAGGAAGGCAGTTTAAACTGCCTTCCCTTCCCTTCAAGGGGGGTCTTGCCCGGGCTCCCTGCAGCCACGGGGCACCCGGGCAAGCCAAGGGAAGGCATGGGTGTGGCCTAATAGGCGAATGAGCTGCACTGTCAGGGGTGTGGCCTAATAGGCGAATGAACTTCTGCTGTTGGGTGTGGCCTATTATGCTAACGAGTTCCTGCTAGGCTTTTTCTACAAAAAAAGCCCTGCCCCGAACCCAGGGTTTTCCTCCTTTCATTTCATTTTGGATATGTTTGGAGAGTCCCCTTCCAGTCACACCTGATGCTGTCCAAGCAGATCTGAGTGAGGAGAGCATGTGGGCAGGCCTTTGCGCCTTCCTACTTCCTTCCATCTAAGACTTCTCCGTCTCCTTCTGCTTTGCCATAAGTACAGGGTGGGTGGGGCCTCCTTCTTGCTGGATTTGTGCCTTTCTAATGTTGTGCTTGGGAGGGAAGGCAGCATGGTATGGCCTTCTCAGATCTCAGAAGCTAAGCAAGGTCAGTACTAGCAAGGAAGATTCCGCAGAGGAAGGTGATGGCAAACCACTTCTGCCTCTCATTTGCCCTGAAAGCTCCTCGTTGAGATCACCATAAGTCAGCTGTGACTTGACATCACTTTGCACACAATGTTGTGGTTGATTCTAATTAAAAGTCATTACACAATCACTGTTTTGGAGTTTATTGTTAAGTTATATTATACTTCCTGATAAGTATGCTTATGACTTATAGTGTCAAGGGGATCTGTTCATCAGACATTATGGATTCTAGCACACAGATCGGGGACTATGAACATGTTGGCATTAGTCTGGACACTGAACTGATTAAAGACAAACAAAAGCTTTTTTTAAGGAACTAACAAACTGGATAGAAAAAGAAGAGCTAAGCCTAGCTGCCTTGCTAGCTGAGAGACAGAGAAGAGTTCTAGACTGTTCCAGAAGAAAGGCCTAAAAGTAGCATTCTGTAAACAATGAGACTGGACCAGCTAGAGGTTGCTGCCCCCTGCAGGATCTTCTTTCTTCTTCAAACATGGTGCATTGCTATATTTCAACATTTCAAGTAGGTTGTGCTCCACTTATTTCAGTATCATCCTTACTAACAACAGTGACAGTGGCCCACTTACAGACATGATTATTTATTTATTTATTTATTATTCAACTTATACCCCACCCTCCCCGCTACATGGGGAGATTAGGGCTTCTGTATAGTTAGGAGACTCTAGGTATGCAGAAAAAATATTGGAAGTTTAAAAAGAACTCCCCTCCCAAAAAAGGCTTGACAATGACTGGGCATGCTCATTGCCCTCAAAATGTTGAAATCACCTAAAGGGGGGGCAGAGAAAGATGGGGAAACTGGGCAGCTCAACCCCCTAAGAGGGGGAAGCAGGATGTTTTCCAATCTCTCCCTCCAAAGTTCCGTGACATCTGGAATATCTTTGTGTTTTAATTAAAGCCCAATTTAAAAAAAAATGCAAGGGCAATCTACCAAAATGCTTAGTGAGTAGTAAGGATTCCACAATGCCTTTTTGGCACTGTTACCAGTCATACCACTGGTGTGTACTTTGTTTTAACTCGCTAGCCTATAGGTATGGATGCACAATTAAGAGTATATATTGATGTATACTAATGTGTACTAGGCTTCCCAAGTCCCCCCGGGGGGTGGGGAAACCCCCGCCCCAGAGGCCCGTTCCCCACCGCCGGTGGATCGGGCCCTGGGGGGAACCCCACCCTGACGTGCGCGACCACGCCGAGCACGCTGGGGGCGGGGCCACGGTCATCTGAGGGAAAACTCTATGGTTTTCCCTCGGATGGTCGTGGCCCCGCCCCCAGCGTGCCCAGCGGTGTCACGTCATTTCTGGGTGACGTGCGTGCGGCGCGCGCTCCAGCCACGGGGCGGGAGTCCCCCGCTACAGAGAAATTTCAACTTGGCAACCCTAATGTATACCCTATGTGCAAGGTAGCTGGGAAATCTACTTACAATTCCATGATAAGTACATGTGTGTGATTAATATCAGTTATGAAATGAAACATTACATAATTTTGAGTATGCACCCAAGAAGCTCTTAAGTTCTCTCACTAAACATAAAGGATGAAAGACATTTTGGTATATTAAAAGCTTTAGCTAGTATGTAGAAATAATGAAATATCTAACATAGAATACGTAGTAATGATAAAATTAATAATATAGTTCCAAAATAGACCACTTATGAATTTTGAAATTTAAAATGTTTGAAGGACTACTGTATTTTATAGAAAATATCTTAAAAATTATAATGAAAGGGATGTTGTGGAGAAATATTTTCTGTTCTATATACTCCGTAATATATAATAACCTTTGATATACAGATATAGATATAATCTGTTATATAACCCTTATTTCCTCTTGTATCCTTTTTATATTACTGTCTTGTTTTCTAAAATGTTTAAAAAAGATAACAGAAAATACCTTTGGGGGTCAATGCATGGAATCCAGTTTACTTGAGGGTCTGGTATATCCTCAAGATAAGGATAGAGAGTTTCTCTCTTGAAAACCCAGCCATAAATGCCATCCTCAGGCAACACAATAATGTGGGAGCCCTATAAAGATACAAGTGCAAACACATTATCCACCAGAACCAGTACTGGCATCGAAACATTACCAGATGCAACCAGTGTGTATTACCATTGCAGCAGCTGTTTTGGTGACTTCTTCTAAAACATCCAGATTTTTGTTCATTTGCCGCACAGCCTCCTCTCGTGTGACAAGTTTTGGAGTTGCTCCTGTCAGTATAACAGCATGCTCGTAGACTGCAGCAATGTACTTTTCCAAGGCAGAAGCCTTGAGGGCAGCTCCGATCAGAACTATGGTACAAATGGAAAGCTGAAAACGAACCATCCTTACTGAGTCTGTTACTATGACTGAGAAAAATCACGGGCTTTCCTGGGATACTGAAAAGGTAAGAAGTGATTGGGTTGCTTTAGGGAGTTCCCATGTCATGAAACAAAGTCTCTTTTCCAGGAAGTTAGTTATGGTGAAACACTAGCAAACTGTACTCCCCTAACCAAGAGCTTGCATAAGAGAAAGAATGTATGTCCTAACGTTAGCCTGTGTGTACCTAAAGGGAAATGTGTCAAAGATGAATCACAGCTTGTTATGCCAAGCTAGAAACATGCAGTGCTTAAGACAGGTTGAACTATTATAGTGCTTGGGTGACATCACAGATAGTTTAGCTTCTAATGCTGGACTGGTCTAACTACTTCTTAGAATTCCTGGGAACCCGTGTATACGGGAATAAATTTAAAGTCGGGGGGGGGGGGAGAGAAACATGCCACAAAAGCCAATGGCTGCTGGTTACTTCAAAAGGAAAAATGCTGGTTGGTGGACCACATTGCCCTGAGGACAGCCTTGTTTACTGCCCCTGAGAGTGTTTACTTACGGTGACCTCCTCTTGAGATTCACCCGGCTTAATCATGAATATCTTACTAGTTAATAATGAGGTCCCATAGGACAAAAAAACCTTTGCAATGATTCTGAAGTGATATGGAAGTTGATTTCTAGGGTTGTGAACAGAAATTTTGTTTATTTCATTTTTAATTCATTGTTAGAGATGCAACATTTCTGGAAATTTTGACGCCGTGAGAAAAAAACATTTCTTCTATTATTTGTTGTGGGGGCAAAATTTTTGGGAAAAACTGAAATAGAAGCAATACTTAATTTCCTCTCAAATTATAAAATGCATAAATTAGTTAGTTTATGACCGGCTGGTTAAAGCCCGTGGGAATGGTATTCGGGTACCCCTGGGAGAAATCATCAACTTGTCCCTTTCACCTGGGGCATTCCTCGTGGGACTGAAGGAGGCAGTGGTTCATCCGCTCTTGAAGAAACCATCATTGGACCCTGTGGTCCTGGCCAACTACCACCCAGTCTCAAATTTACTATTTCTGGGTAAGGTAGTTGAGAGGGTGGAGGCTGAACAGTTTCAGGCCTTCTTGTATGACACATACATCCTTGATCCATTCCAGCCAAGTTTCCATCCTGGCCATAGGATGGAGACAGCATTGGTCACCTTCACAGATGACCTCTAGAGACACCTGGATTGGGGCAGCGCTGCTATTGCTCTTAGATCTAATGGCGACATTCAACATGATCGATTACAACCTTTTGACCCGCTGCCTCGCCGACACAGGAGGGCAGGGGACTGCTTTACACTGGAATGTGGAGTGCCGCAGGGGGTAATCCTTTTGCTGATGCTGTTTAACATTTACATGCACCCCCTTGCCCAGTTGGTCTGGGGGTTTGGGCTGGGTTGTCACCAGTATGCTGATGACACCCAGCTCTATCTGTTGCTGGATAGCTGCCTGGACCCCACCTCAAAGAATTTAAAAAGGGTGTTGGAGGCCATGGGTGGGTGGTTACAGCACAGTTGGTTGAAGCTCAATCCAGTGAAAATGAAAGTCCTGTACATAAGCCAAGGGGGGGTTGAGTCGGGAATCAGGCTCCCTGCCTTGGATGGTGCACCACTTGTGCCGTTCCAAAAGGTGAGGAGCCATGGGGTGATCCTGGATGCCTCACTTTCTATGGAGGCCCAGGGCATAACAGTTGCCAGGGTCTGCCTTTATCATCTTTGGCAGATCAGACAGCTGGTTCCCTCTCTCTCCCCCCAGGACTTGGCTAAGGTGACCCCCATGCAATGTACAGGAGGGAGCAGAGTTCAGGTCCCTTTCCTGGAGTGTTCTTGCTTTTAGTAGATCCACCTACCCCTTTCATTACATGTGAACAGGAACAGTGTTGGGGCAGGGGAGAAATTTGTATGAGGGAAATGGTAGGACTGTTTTTACATGTCATTAAATACATCTCAGAGGTTTTATCCTCACAGATTTTGGTTACATGGAGAGATCTCAGATCCATCCTCATCATGGATCTCTAACCCCTGGCTTGGTTTCATGTCTTTCATTGGAAGAAAACTGTTTATTTATATATCTATGTAAAATAATAATTCCCACAATTCCTAGTATATTGTTCTTGAGGCAACTTTCACTATGAAAATTAAATCAATCAAGATAAGCATCAAGGTTCCATCCATAAACATCCATTGTTATGCAGTCCACTTTCTGGTTTCCCAGAATATGTAAGCAAAATGCTACATTAGGAAATTCCCATGTAGGTATGCTGCTTAGTATGGGTGAAATATAACTGCTACCTCCCAAGTTGGCAGTACCTGCCTTTTCCTCTGGCAGGCAGGTACAGTCCCAGAACAAAGAATAATACAGCATGTAAAATGAACCTACTTTTTTTAAAAAAATGCTCTTGGTAAACTGACTGACAGAACATAGAAATGATGTCTGAACAGTAATATCTATGGAAATGAACCTTTTCAGTGGGAACATCTGCTAACTCTTCTAGTTGGAATAAGCCATTTCAGTCTGATCAGCTTCTGAATCACTCTGAGGCATTGCCACCCCTCTCATAATCTCAATTTGCATGGTACAGATACTTTCAAATATTACCAGTTGTGGGGGGTTTTTACAATTAGATTTAATACATTGGGAAAAAAAGAGGTCATTTGGTTTGATTTTTGTTAATTTCAAAATGGCCATCTCTACCGTTTTCCCCGTTACTAATCGGCACAGTCCCTGTGTGCTTTGTCGATAATGAGCAGAATCACCTTTCTTTTCCCTGGAGCCCAAAGCTGTGACTCCATTATAGAACTAGCAGGATGAAGGATCATAAATTATACTCTGAGCATTAGCAAATGAGAAAGTTGATTGGGCCAGCTGCTACATTTCGGAAAACTCGTGGCTTAGTAAAGGCCTGACTTAAATCCAGTCATAAGAGAAGCCATGTTGGATTAGGCCAATGGTCCATCCAGTCTGACACTGTGTGTCACACAGTGGCCAAAACCCAGGTGCCACAAGGAGGTCCACCAGTGGGGCCAGTCGTGTGAATTTGCTAATATATTCACTATAGACTTGTCTTCTAATATTCATAGTCCTGATTCTGCATCGCTTGAATCCAGGCCTGTAGCCAGGATTTTGTAATTCTGGGGGGCCTTTAAATAAGTCGGGGGGCACTGACATGATTTGGGGAAGCACACCATGCTTGGGGAAGAGGTAGCGGCAGTGGACAGCTAGAAGGAAGTCGGGGGCCTTGGCAGGAAGTCGGGGGGCTGGGCCCCGAAATGCCCCACTGTAGCTACAGGCCTTGAAATCAGAAAGAGATATACAGAGCTCCATGATTCATTTCAACAAGTGCAACCCAGAAGCAGAAAGCAACACATTTCAGTGAAGGGAAGTCCTCAAAACACATGCAAAAGGGATATACGTGTTAAGCTGTTCTTTTTACCTAAGTGAGTGAAAGGACTGTGTGCATGCATCTGGGTACACACAGTGCTTTGGATCAGAGTGCGTATGCAGTATAAGATACCAGGGTGTATTATAAGAGTTCCACTGTAAAAAAACAATGCTGTTTGAGTCAGAATGCTGTTTATTCAATGTAGTTTTAAAGTCATATGCATAGTTTTAGATTATCAGCATAATATTTTGTAAAAAATATTAACAAGATTTACTAGAATAAACTATACTTCTGAAGAAACTGAACCTGCAGATTTGTTTTAGTCTGGACAATGGTGGTGTTAAGTGTAAAAGTATATTATTATGAAACATATGGCACATTGTGCTATATATTAATTTCACATGGTGTGAAATATTTCTCCTGTACAAATACTCCCAGATATACCCAGCTCAAATAGCTCACCATAGGAATGCCCAAAACAGAAAGGCATTAGTTATCTAAATGATAGAATGGTACATTTCAGTTATAAAGGTTTCAGAATTCTTCACATGGTGTTATAAGAGGGTTTTCACACTGAAAGCTATTTGCTCCCCCTTCCGAGTGCGTTATGCTTCTAGGTTTCACAAAATTAGATTTGAGCTGCTGATGGGGAAGATTTCCAATTATGTTTCACTAGATAAAAGATTAGCTCTTTCTTGCTCTGTACCCAGACCATCTTGTGGAGGGAATCTATGTAGAAATAAAAACAACAAAAGATAAAAACAGGCAAGATTCTCAGGGTGACTTTGCATACTTGACCAAGACAGAAAAAATACAGATACACTGCCTAGTACATTTTTATTCCAGTCTTCCTCCCAGGAGTTCAGGGTAGCATCCATGGCTCTCTTTGCCCCATTTTACCCTCACCACAACTCTGTAACTAGGCCAAATGTGTGCGACTGACCAAAGGGCATGGGCAGGGGGGGACGGACTCTAGCTGACAAACAACATTATGGGGGGGGGAGTTTGCACTCAGCCATGTTTTATGGATACAGAAAAGCAAAGTTCAGTGATTTTTGGCATTTGTGGCAAATGTACCTGCATTGTAACAGTGCTGTTCTTAGTGTCATTTTTCTGCCCTTACTCTTTTGCCTTTGTCTGATTTATTCATGTTACTATTTAGTCTTTTGGGTGGTTATGACATATGGACCGATTTCCCACAAGCGCCGCTCCAAGCTTGCTCTTCCCTTTTGCCCCGATGGTACGTGTCAATTTCACACAAGCTGCTGCGCGGCCGCATTTTGCACCGCAGCTTTGCACGATTTCCCCCGCGTCTACTCAATCCTGTTTTTTGAGGACTGAGTAGACGCGGGGAAAATTGTGCAAAGCTGCAGGACAAAATGCGGCCGTGCAGCAGCTTGTGTGAAATTGACACGTACCATGGGGGCAAAAGGGAAGAGCGAGCGCAGAGCAGCGCTTGTGGGAAATCGGTCATGGTTTTATTGACAGCATTATGTTTGATGTGGTGACATTACAGGTTGTCCCATTCACTGCCCAGTCTGCCAGTGATGAAGGCATGGGATCTCTTAATGCAGGCCAAGATCAGGCCAAGCTGGAGCTGACCCACTATGTTGGAGCAGGAGCTTTGCTGCAAGTAGCTGTCTGGGGCTCAGCATGAACTAGGTTGGACAGCCAAAGCCAGAGCTCAACTGAAGGCTTATATAGGGAGCTGATAACTCCACTCCTTCCTGCACCCTGAACTGGGTCCTGGATCCTGCAAAAGTCTAGAGAATGGCGTCATCCTCCCAAAGGGGACTAGGGAGTGGGGTGCCTTAAGCTGCCAAGCATAGGCTTCTTTGCCTAGTCTGGACTTTGGCTCTGGCTCTCCATCTTCTTAGTTCCTGGGATTCTGGGGGCAACCTGGGGTACTGGAGGTAGAGGGGTCCACTCAGGAGATTCCTGCTCTACTTGTTCCACTGGCTTTTGAATGGGAGCCTGCTATGGTAGAGAAGGGAGGTGGTCTTCTCCTGGAATCTCTGGATACAAGGAGCCTCAGGTGTAGTCGGGACCATGAAGGGCTTCTTCACTCTTAAAAAGTCTTCCTCTCTTGTTGAGGTGGGCCCAGAGCAAGTCCTGACACAGATACGCGTGCGAACAGTCACACAGATTGTCACAGCCAACAGAACACATATGAACACATGAAGCTGCCTCATACCAAATCAGTTCTTTGGTCTATCAAAGTCAGCACGGTTGACTCCCTGCTAGCCTGGCTCTCCAGAATCTCACCCATTACTTGATCATTTTAACAGCAGATGCTGGGGACTGAAGCTGTGACTTTCTGTAGGCCAGGGAGATGCTCTACCACTGAGCCACAGCCCTCCCTTAAATGGCAGTGTAGACATGTGGCCAAGTCCAGTGAAGGCAAAGTAGCCGTAGGAACACAGAAAATAGCGCCAAGAAGCAAAAACTGAATGGCTTCAACACAATATACATTTTGGATTTTAAAAAAAATATATTTTCTAGTAACTTTTTGGGTCCAGAACTTAGGGAATAGTAGGGCTGGAGTGAATCATAATGCCATTTCAGCATATTCTTGGATTTTAAAAAGTATTTTCTAGTAACTTTTTGGGTCCATTCCACATGGTCTCCTAGCAAATATAGAGCTTAGGGAATAGTAGGGCTAGAGTGAATCATAATGCCATTTCAGCATATTCCACTTGCATTTGAATAAAGCCTAACAAAATAATTCAGAAATCAGCAGAAGAAATTAAACATTTTGGTTTTAGACACTGGTGGGCTTTATGGGGGGGAAATCAAAACATGAGCCTGAAAACAGATTACTTTGATTATAATTTAAAGTGGGAAAATAAGATTCACAGTACCTTCTTCTACATGAGGCCTCATAGATATAGTAAATTCCAATAGCCACTCCCTTAAAAGAAAGCAGCCTGTTAGTACACTTGAATTACCTCAGATTCATGGTAAGAAGCTCTAGTCAAGAATACGGTTTTACGTACACTCAGTAGTGGTAATCCACCTTGTATGGCTGCAGCCCACTCAAAACCTAGTTTGTCATTTAGGAATCCACCTAGTGTTGGTCCTACAAAAGACCTAAAAAGAACAGAACAAAACTGCTGAATTGACCATAGGAGTAACAACATACATTGACATTGCCTGGGATCCAAAGAACCGTATCCGTAGTCCCTGTACTACAGTACAGGCCTTTTACCAATGAGTATGTCCATGTTTCTAACAGACAGAAATTTAGAAAATGGCACCTGCAGCTGAGTGTGGGAGAGAGGATTTTCTTCACTACTAAGTGGACAGGTTTTAGCTTTAAGACATGAAACTGGAATAGGTGAACTTCATGGCCATTCCAGTTATGCGATAGCATTATTAGCTGTTGATTTGCAGCTAACCAACTAATACTAGGACGACCCATCCCCTTCCACTCCTACCGCTATCTGTAGCACCATCAAATCTTTTGACTTTATGCAGCTTTTTTTAAAAAAATAAAAATTTGGCATGGAACAATTAGGAGTGTTACCATTATTAGCTGTTCATTTGCAGCTAACCAACTAATACTAGGATGACCCATCCCCTTCCACTCCTACTCCTATCTGTAGCACCATCAAATCTTTTTACTTTATGCAGCTTTTTTTTAAAAATAAAAATAAAAATTTGGCATGGAACAATTAGGAGTGTTATTTCACATGCCCATGTCTCCATCTACATGTCAATTTAGTTTCGTTCCCTCACACTACTAGCTTATGAAAGCCAAAGAGAATTGGCTGAGGAATATAATGCTTTCTTGCTCCTAGCAGACTCAAGAGAAAAGTATATGCCCTTATTTTGCACACAGCCTAGTGCCCTTGGAATTAAGTGGAATGTACACACAAACCCAAACACACATGGATAAAAGTTGACTTTCTGTTTGAAACTGCACTGGGAGGAAATGCAGGCCACAAAGTAGTCTTTGCAGTGGAGAGTCAGAAAACGGGACACACAAGGTGATGTCTAGTAAAGTGGGGCAGAGGACAGTACATGGCTGCCATCACCGAATGACAACCAAGGGACAGCAGTACCATATTCTGGTTGTTAGCTGTCATGGGGAGACAGCATAGACTGTACATGGCAAGTACAGTGTGGTGAATGGTCAGTAGTGCCTAGCATTAATGTTGTCATTGGCCCACACATGACAGGGTGCTCTTGCTGGTCGTTCACCTACAATGAACTTGCACAAACCCAACAGCTACCCAGAATACCCACTGGGGAATCCATGGGTCTTCTCCTCCCCCTTACAAACTAGCTAGCAGCAGCCATTTTCCTTTCTCCACACCACCTCATCATCCTACTACTAGTTATAGATGTGTTAATGTTCTGACTGGAAATGGACAAGTAATATAGACTGAAAAGGGTCAAATGCATCTTAGTTTCCAGAATAACTCTGGCTAATTGTAAGCACATCTGCTGAGGATGCCCATAAGGCATAACAGAGCTCATACCCCTCACAGGGACCTGTGTGCACATTTCACAACTCCATTCGGCCTGTTCTCTGCTTGGCCACAACAGATTCTACTGCTCCCCATTCCTTGTCATATAATAATGCAAGATAATAGCTTGAGAACAAACGTTATGACTGCAACTCTTCAGTGGTGCGAACAGCAACCTTCCAAAGCAGTGGGGAAGACTCGGCTTTAGCCGATTTGTATGCATCAGGAAACTGTGAACCTGATCAGCCACCATCATAAGACATGTGCTGCATAATGCTAACTGCTTCCCTTTGAATTCCAGGACATGGTTATTTGTTGCTGTGCATGCCTAGGGCTAGGGGTTTTTTTTAGTTTCACTTCACTACTGCAGGATGCTGTCAGATGATGTGCCTGCTGGAAATACAATTTTCTGTCTTTAGATATGGTTTTCTCAGATGAATGGTGGTTCATTTGGTGAATGCACAGGCACTACGCAGTCGTTGCTCGGGATGCAGACACTCTCCCTCAGATACGAAATTCCATTTCAGAGAGATGTGTCTTCATTAGTCAAACTGAAGAATGTTGTGGCTGGGAAACCACGTCTTGTTACACACCAGTGTCCCTTTAATGTACCAGAGTTGGAGGGGGGAAAGCTAATGCTAACTCTACCTCCCAAGCAAGTTGCTTTATACAAATGAGAAGTGATAACAGGCCTAGCTTTCCAATCCCAGCACTACAGCAGTGCTTCAACGAAATCACCACAAGTGCTTAAAAATGTAGAATTCACTGCTGGAGGATGTAGTGATGGCCACAGGCATAGACACAATTAAAAAAGGATTAGACAGATTCATGGAAGAGAGATCGATCGGTGGCTACGAACCATGGTGACTAGGGAACCTTCAGGTTCAGAAGCAGTCAGCCTCTGAATACCAGTGCCAGGAAGGCCTCGGCCTCTATGCCCAATTGTTGGCTGTC